TTTATGTTTGATTTCGGAACTCCCAAGCATCTCGAGCTTCCAGTAGGACTGGGTACACAAGTGCCACAAACAGGTTTCTCCTTCAGGCCCCTGACCACCACTGCACATGAGCTGTCCTCTGCCCAGAACGTCCAGTCCACCAGGCAAACACCTGCAACACCTGGTTCAGGTCTTACCTCCTCCCTGGTCCCTTCTCCTTCCATTACCCTACACACACCAGCAAATAAGCTAATGATTTTCTCCTCTGTGCTGTTCCTGTACCTCACATATGCCCCACTGCTAGAAAAAAAGGCACTCCTTCCTCAAGACGTTTGACTGCCATCTGCTGGAAGTTTGTCATAACGGCTCTGCAAGTCGCCCTGACACAGGCGAAGGCACAGCCTGGCGTTGTGCTGTGCTCTGCTTGCACAACTGCAGGCATGGCCCTGACTGCTGAAGTGATCAGGATTGAGGGGATCTTGAACATAAAGATTGCTGACCCCTCACTGTGTCCCCAGTGCCCTGGCTTCCACTGGGGCTTCCACAGAGAGATGCTTGCTAAATGCTCCTGGTGCAAACTCCCATTACCCTAGGCTTGAGGCACCTGGTCTCATGCGTGAACGTTCTCCAAATGTATCTGTTGCTAAGCAAGGCAACCAGACTCCCCATGAGCTGTCAGAGTAACCAGAGGGTCAGGGGGACTTGCAGAGAGGACAGGCACCCTTCAGCCTCTCACTTCTGCTCAGAGGCCACCGCCATGTGAAGAGACCAGAGAAACCCCACGTTCATCCCCTCAGGCAACCATGTTGGGGAGAAGGTGAAGAACGGGGTGTGCCGGCTGCCTTGGCTCGCTGCACGGGGGAGGGACAGTACTTTGGAGCATGTGCTGTATCCAGGGTTGTGGGGATGCAGAGGAGCCACATAGGGGCCCTTGCGGGGAGCTGGGGGTTTTGTGGGGAAGTAGGTCAGTGAGCATGTAGCTGTGAGACAAGGGTAAGCAAAGATGTTGATTCACTGTCATCTGTGTTTTCTGAGCTGTGCCCTTTTATCAAGTTACCTCATCAAAAGCCATTATCCCAGTGACGTTCTGGGGCTTCACAAAGTGGTCTCAGTAGAGCTTCATCCAGCTGTTACACCTGTGGGTAGGGGCCAGAGGGGAGGCAGACTTTCACTAGGGTTCTTTGTTATAACAGAGGATGCCCTCTGTCCTCTCACAAAGCTTGTTTCACCAGAGCCATTCAGCACAGCGTTGCTCAGGTCCCATAGAGAGAGTCTCCCTGACAGATACCACTCCCTGCTCAGTCTGTTCTAATAAGCCAGCTGATGCACCTCCCGGCCTCTGTGAGGGCTGAGCATTTCCCTCTCTGCCCCGGCCACCAGGAAGCCCAGAGACAACTTGCTGGCTCAGTTTCTGTAGCTTTCCTGAACCAGGATTGCTCCTCACCATTTCCCTGATTCTTTCCCCAGGAGTGCTTGTTTTTTGGGTGTTTGTACTTTCCTTTGTGGGGTGGCTTTAGGGGCAGGACCGGGAGCGGTGGGGCAGAAGCAAGAAGAAACCACCAGTGAGCCAAACACACCCGGGTTTCAGTCCCCACCTGCTAGCTGTGCTATCTTAAGCAAGATGTCTTTGTCTCTTCAATCCTTAGTTCCGTATCTGGAAAACTAGGATAATAACCACAGTCAACAGCTAGGTTATTGTGAAGATTAAACTCGTCCAGTGTGAACGCTGCTGTTCCCTTTCCCGCCTCCTAGATCAGGCTTGGTCTGTGGCTCCCAGATCCGAGTCTACGTTTCCTTCTTCCTGCCTGTGTCAGTCGGCTTAGAATGAGCAATACAGCGGGCAGAACCAGGGACCAGCTGTCCTGGTTTGTGTGGGACAAAGGGGCTTCCCAGGATGCAGGACTTTCGGTGCTAAGATGGGAAGGTCTGAGGCAAACAGGAGACAGTCACCCTGTTTAAACAACCTCAACATCTCAGGGGCTTACAGCCGCCCAGGTTTACTTCTTCCTGTGCTTGCATCTGTGCAGGAGCTTAGTTCAAGGAGGAGCCTCTACCCAGGAATCGCTGGTCACAGATTGGGGAGCATGTGATAAAGGGCACTTCTAAAGCTGCCGCTGTCCCTCTCGCTCACATTCACTGGCCAAGGGGAGTCCCTTGCCCAGGCCTGACCCCTCACACAGAGGAGCCGCTGATGGCTTGAACCTTAGTACAATCCACATGCTCTCCTTTCTCTCCTCGTCATTCTGGGGTGCTGGGGCCGGGAAGAGAGAAAGGCAAGGGAGACGCCTGGTCTGTGATTGGAGGTCTTCCTGTGGCCATCAGCCTATAGATGGTGCATGTGGGTTTCTTAAGGGTGGTTCAGCCTCACCCTGTTGTCTCCCAGGAGCAGCTGTGTCACCTTTTGGGGCTTAATAGTGGCTGACACGCTCATCACTTCCAGCCGCCTTGCTCTGTTGTGTGGAGCCCCAGAGAATCTTCTCCCTGTGCTCCGAGGAGCACAAGGGGACTGAGGTGGGACAGAGGAGGCCCCCAAGTTCTTCCCGGGACCACTGCCCAGGTCCCTACGTGCCTGGCTTTCTCTGGCCTTCCAGAGAGTCTCCCACTCACCTTTGGAAATCTCTAGCTTGGAAGTGGGCACACGTGTGCCCCCCCGACCCCAGGACCTCAGGCCAGGCTCTCCTGAGGGCGTCATCACCATGCGTCGCTTGGATCACAGCGCCGGGGCCAGCCCTGAGCTCCCGGTCAGCAAGGGTCCTTCTCACAGGTACCTTAGGTCTCTTGGGGGTGCCTCCCTTTGCTCAAATCTCTTAAAAGTAGTTAGCACAGAGCAAGGTTTTTGTCCCTTTTTGTTGGTGGCGGTTTCATTTATTGTCTTACGTCTAAGAACACCTTCTTGTAGAGAAAACAGTTTTCCAGAAATAATGGTCACAGCTAAGTCAGCTTTCTTACCTTGTCCAAGCATATACGAAAAGCCTTCTGCTTTTTGTTTTGCAAAATGGAGTGCCAAAGTCTATGTCGACATTTATTATTTCTATAAAGTAAATTTAAGTACTGGGAAAAGCAATCAAAATAAGAAATTTTGTATGGCGTTTTGTCCTTAGAACTTTCATCTAAACTTCAGGGAAGTAGGGGCAAGAGAAAATTCGAGGCATGGCACCGGGAGACCCTGAACCCTGAGACCCCAGTGCTGCCAGCGGGGCAGGGGCCAGGCCCAGAGAGGGGAGGGGGAGGAACAGCAGAGGAGAGCCAGAAGCTTCTCTGCGGGGACACCTGAGGGCAGTTGAAAGGCACGCAGCTCACCAGGTGCAGGTCGAGGGAGTAATGGGAGCCACACCTGCAGGGCCACGTGCTCCTGGGAACTTAAGCGCTTCAGCGGCCTGGCGCCTCCGGCAGGAGAGGAGCAGTGCTGGGCTGAGAGTAAGCCTGCCCGTTGTGGAGGCCTGGTGCTTCCTGCTGGGGCATCTGGGATTTCATCTGGAAGGCTCAGGGCAGAGCAGTGAAGCCATTGCTTTAAGCAAGGGGGTGTCCCACCTTGGAACCCAGTGAGGAGGGGGGCGAGGCTGGAGAGGAGAGCAGTGTGATGGGGCCAATGACCAAAGGATGGAAGGAAGAGGCGAAACCCGCCGATCAGAGTGCCAGGTGGGGGCTCTTGGGTGTGGGAAGGAGAGAGGAGGACGCCGGGGGAGAATCCTGCGTTGCTAATTTGGGGGCTGGGAGGATAGTGTGGGACCTGGATGGGGAATCAGATTTAGATGGGATCCCGTGTGGTAGACCTCCCACACAGCGGCCCATCCCTGGGGACTTTGTATCCATGTGCACTGCTATGTCTATTGAGGCTTGGGGACAAGAGGGCCAGAATCCTGGTCACGTTGTTGGCACCAGCCCGGACCTGGTTACCAGCGTCTGACAGTGAGGGTTTCTGAATAAGACTGCAAAGAGGAGTAAATCGGAGGACACAATCCGTTCCATCCTTGGCTATTCATTTCAAGACCTTAAAAATGGTTGAGACAGAGGTGGGTAAGCCAAGATGTAAGAATTCATCAATGAAATGTGAAATACCAGGATTTTTGCTTCAGGAAGGTCAGGAAAGCCCCATTTAAAGTCGAAGTCCTAAAAAAAAGAAAGCAAGAGAAAGAAAAGAATAAACAAACAAAAAGAAATAAAACCTGAGTCTTTCTATCTAAGGCGGAGGAGGGAAGGAGTAGGGCAGGTGCAGCCAGTTTCTCCCGGGACGCAGGGTTCACAGGAGCTGAGAGCAGACCTCTGAGTCCCGCCAGCAGGAGGTGGGAGGGCTGCAGCCCCCAACTTTAATGTAATATGAGCAGCTTTTCAGAACGGATTTCTCCAGCAGAGGTACTTGAGTTCAGGGACACTTTCTTTAAACATCCTGGCTCACTCCCAGCTGTTTCAGGTATTGGCCCTGCTGGCATTTTGTCTTGGCTCAGTGTTTCCTGAAGACTTGTTTCCTGTGGTTGCTCATTGTGTGTGTTTGGGTGACTCACCTGGCCTGTGGGAGAGCTGAGTACGGCCCCTGGAGCCCCGTCACGTGGCCTCGGCCACTTTCTCTGCCTCTCCTGCCTCAGTCTCCTCCTCAGCAAGATGAAGAAAGCAGCAGCACCTACCTCACAGTTATTTATTTGCTGCAGGTCTAAGTGAGTTAATCTACATAGTGTGGCCAGCACAGTGCCTGACACAAGTCCATGCTCAGTAAAAGCTCACTGTTCTTACTGCTCGACCCATTAGGAGAAACGAAAAATATCATTATCTTCTTCCTCTCAAGGCTGTATCCAAGAATCCACACTTAGTCATTTAAGTAGCATTGTTTTCCACAGAAAGTATCTCCTGCCAGGTTCCTTCACATGTTCGCAGTTGAGTTTAACAGGCATCTGAAGGACACAGCGCCCAGCGGTACTCCCTGTGATGGGGAGTCAGGAGCCAGCTCCCCTGTCTACCTCAGCCACCATGAGATGTGTAAATTTATTTACTCCAAAGTGACCTGTCTGGGATTTCTTTTCCTCTAGGCCTCACTGTAGGTTTCTGGAAGAAGTTGACTGCCTGAGAGGAAAAGACAAAACATGAAAATTGCTTTGAGGTGACAAGCAAGTCCCGTGGCCCCTTGCTTCTCCCACGGCGGGTCTGAGGTTTAAGACCCGTAACTTCAGGTAACGGTCCCACCCCACCCACCCCCGCTGAGATGGACTAGCGTTGGCAGCCCTGATGGTGATTCTTCTCTCAGGAAGTGTGTTCTCTTCCAGGAGCCCTGAAACTTAGAATATTCCACCGCATGCAAACATCTGGTCATGCAAAAAGAAGACGTGGGGGTAGAGGTGGCACCCCAGGTCTGACATACAGCCCACAGGGTCACCAGGACCCCGAGGGTAGGGCTCTGTTCTCGTTTCTGGCCCACTTCTCTCAATGTCAGTAGTAATAACAGCGACGGCAGGGCCCAACAGGGCCTGTAAAGTGATTACATGATTACCCAGTATTCCTCAAAGAAGACATCGAATGGCCAGGAAACTTCTGAAAATGAAGAGTAATGAAAGGGAAAGGAGTGGTTCTACCAGATATTAGAATGTACTGTAAAGCCACAGTCATAAACTGTGTGGCATTAGAATGGAAATAAGTAGATCAAAGGAACAGTATAGGGAGTCCAGAAACAGAAAATAAATCAATCAAGGTGGCATTTCACATGACTGGTAACGGGACGTGTGGTCTTAGTAAGTGATGTTGGGACAACTGTCTATTCTTTAGAGGGAAATAAATTCCCAACCTTGGGTAGTGTACCAGAAATAATCCCCAAGTGGATTAAAGAGCTAAATTAAAAAAACAAAATTATAAAAAAATTAAAGAAGAGAATGTTTGTGTTATTTGGGGGTGAGAAAAAGCTTTGTAAAACATGTCACTTAGTATCACATGCAAACACCATAAGCAAAGTTAAAAGGCAAAAAGGGGGAAAATATTTACCACATTTGTGACAACAGAGATTAATCTTCCTAATATATAAATTTATTTATTTATTCAACATGTACTTATTGAGTGTCTACTATGTGCTGAAAAGTGTTCTGGGCACTAAGGATGCCAGCAGTAAGCCAAACAGAATCACTGCTCTTCTGATGCTTCTAGTCTAGTGGAGAAGACAGCCAGGGAATAAAGGAAGTGGACAATTGCAGGCCACATGTTGACAAAGGCAGTGGGAAAAAATTAAGCAGGGCTGGGGTGGTTAGGGAGGGTTAGTGAGGGGTCGTATTCTGTGCATATTCAGGGAAGCTTCACCAACAGTGACATTTGAGCAGAAGTATGAAGGAAAAACGGGAGAAGTGGTTGAACACTGGATTTTTTTTTAATGTTGAGCTGATAGGATTTGCTGATGGATTGGATACAGGCTGTGAAAGAAAGCAGTCAAGGAGTGACTTCTAGGTTTGGGGCCTGAGCAACAAGCAGGATTGCAGCACCATTTACTGACCTGGGCATGACTGAGAGACTTGGCTTGGGGAGAGCCAGGGGTTGGTTTTGGATGTTTCAGTCTGAGGTCCCTGTTGGTGTACTCAAAGGGAAATGTCAGGGCGATGGTTGGTTGTACAAGTTTGGAATTTGAGGGGAGGTCCATGGATGGAAATAGGGGAGTTGTTATAGCATAGATTGTATTTGAAGCAGTAAAACTTAACAGATCTCCTGGGGATATATAGACAGAGTATAGTCAGAGAAGTTTCAAGGGCACTGGGGGGACTCTCATCTTGAGGTAAAGGAGTTGAGAGGAACCAGCTAAACAGACCAAAATAGGGTGGCTGCCAAAGTAGGAGAACCATGAAACCGAGAGACAGTGAGGATGGAGAGATCTGCTCCGTCAGATGTTGCTGATGGCCAGGTAGGGAGGGAATGGAGAACTGCTGTTGGGTTTAGCAGTGAGGAGCTCACTGGTGAACCCAGCAGGGGCTGTTTTATTGGAGTGATGGGGACAAAAGCTTGATTTGAGTTGATTTGTAGCAAGGAAGAGGAAAGCATTTGGAAACAGAAATGGGGCAGAAACTGGAGGGGAATGGAGTTCAGAAGAGTTTTTCCCTGAGAGTTGTTGCAGCGTGTTCTTATCTTAACAGGAATGATCCAGCAGAGGCGGGAAATGGATGGTGCGGCACTGGGGCGGGGAGACTTCTCGAGTGATGGTCTGGTCTAGTGAGAGAGGAGGGAGTCAGCACGCTCTTGGGCTGGGGGCCTAACCTGCAGCATCCAGGGGGCTGGTAGAGGTGGTTCCTGGCCTCTTCTCTCAGTGAAGTAAAAGCAAAGTTCTCAGCTGAGAGTGAGGACTGGGGAGATGCTGGAGGTGTGAGGAGGAAAGAGTCAAAGTGTGACTGCCCATAGCAGAGCAGGAGAATAAAGGGGGCAGGAGGGTCAATGATCGTTGGGTACTTTTCTCCCACCACATGCAGGTGCCCAGGTGAACATGAGTTAGGAGGCCTGTCAATGCGAAAGCAATATGGTAGGAAGACAGGACATGCTTGGGCACCAAGGAAAACCAAGAAATGCCTATAAACATAGGAACACCATCCATGATAATTTAAAATATAATAAAAATAGTGAGGTTTTAATAAAACTAAAAATATGTATAGTTGCTATATATCAGCAAAGTTTTATAATAATTTTGCTTATGGGCATATATCCTAAGAAATAATGGAAAACTTGTAATTTTGTTCTTAAATGCTACTTTGTAATGGAAAAAAATTAGTTTATTTGATAATCTGAGGAAAGCATGGATTTAAGAATTAATCAACTATTGATTAATTTTAAAAACAGATTTTGTTTCTTCCTTTAGATTGACAAGAGCTCTTACTGGGGATATAAATTATTGATGCATTTTGGGAGCATGGTGTTTCAATATTTACCAAAACGTGCAATGTGCATCCCCTTTAGACCCATCAGCCCTACTTTGAGAAATTATCCTGAGAGATAATAGCTCAAATGCATGGAGCTACGTGCGCAAAGATGTGCATTTCGGCCACGGCTATAAGAGTGAAAACCTAGCATATGCCTAGCCAGGAGGGCTTGGGTCACTATCAGTGGGCATACGGTAGGAACAATGGAAACAGAGCTCACACTCACCTCTCACTTTGCAGATGAGGAAACTCGGGCCCAGAGAGAGGGAGTGACAGCCCTAGTCCCGTCGCGTGGAGCTCAGACCCCGACGGTGGGCAGTGCACGGCCCTCTTCAACTGGGCTTGGAGTCGGAGTCCCTTACAAGGTACTTAACCATCCTCTCTTTCGGGGTAGCTTACTTTGTGCTTTTAAAATATTAATTCTCTTCGGGGGGAGGGTGTAGCTCAGTGGTAGAGTGCGTGCTTAGCATGCACAAGGTCCTGGGTTCAATCCCCAGTACCTCCATTTAAAAATAATAATAAATAAACCTAATTACCTCCCTCCCCACTCCCCCCCCAAAAACAAGGATAAAATACTGGGCTTTTAAAAAAATGAGTAAGAAAAATAAAGGTTTAAAAATAAAATAAATACTAATTTTCAAATGTTT